GTGCTTGCTCTCCAGTTTCTGCAGGATAGCGGTTCAAGCACTCTGCTTGTCAAAGTGTATGGCGCCAGCTTCTGTGAAGAGGGGGGGGGGAGGGGCCTGCACGGCTGCGGAATATGAGGACTGCTTCAAGTTCATGCCCAGGTATCCCAGGGGTGACATCCGATACGCAGGCGCCGAGTGCGAAAGCTGCGATGCACTCCAGCGCGCAAAGAAGTTTTGATGCTCCCATTGCCCTCCTTCCTCGCAACAAGCACGCGAACCAGCGGATCCCCAAACCCAAAAAGTCTGGAAACCAGCACGGTCGTGAATTGCAAGATGCGACACAAGGGCATGAAAGCCGCTGAGGCAAGCCAACAATGTCACTTGCTGCTTATCTCCGAGCTCAGCTCAGCTCAGCTCGTACACCCATAAAAAGAATCTGAATGAACGGCTCCGAAGGATGCACCATGCAAATGTACCAAATTGCCTTCAATCAACATCCCTAATGTGCAAATTTGCTAGGCTCCCATGCCCCCGGCAAGAAAATCCGGCTGTCCAAGCGGACCGTGGCGGTGAGGCCAGGAGTCGTCTACCATGAAGTCATCCCAACTGCCAATGCAACCCAAACCATAGCCCACCCAAAAGAACAAGTTTCAAGTTGGAGATGGCGAGCATTCATAGACGCCCGTTGGGGATAACGTCTTGGTGCCTCGCATAAAATCCACGCAGCTGCCACCCACAGCCCTAGCATAGGTTTATTTCATGTGTTGACCTGGAGGGCAGCCTACTCAAATGTCTCGCCTTCCGGGCAAAAAGGCTGATGGCAACAAGGACAAGGGCAGGTCGAACATGTTCAGAGACCTGGCTCCACATTGGCTCTGGGAAGCGGGACCGAAACTCCCGACACGTCTCACTGCTGTACAGTGCCACAAGCGCATTGCGCCTAGCAGCTGGAGCAGCAACCAACGCACATGTCTGAAGGTTTGCTCAACTTACTTGAGTGTTGATTGCCGCCCTGCAAGTTGCCCAGCGCCTGCTTCAAACAAGGAGAGACGGAAGAACATACCCTCGCTCGTGGCCATCAAGCACAAGCCACACAAGTGCGAGAGTTCAAGCGTGCAATCGCGGCCCCCGGTATTCCATCTGGAATGGGCCCATACCCATCAGGCCAGGAATTCTTTGGACGCGAGCGCGGTCAATTTGGCGCCCATCTCGGGCCAAATCTTCCATAGGAATGGCCTGCAGGCACCGATGCCTCAAGCGGCCGCGGCGTTGATCTCTTTGGACCTTGGCAGGTTGTTCCCACCGACCAAGCCCTGAAAGTCCGACAAGGGATAAGTCGGATAGCCTCTCAGCCCAAGCAGGCATGACAGAACTTTGGAAGATACACCTGCAAAAGGTCCCTTGCCCACTCCCATTGGTGGAAAAGGGTGGGCAGCTTGGATTTCTATAGCAAACGGAGAATTGCGGCTGCCCAACGGCATGAACATCACGTAGCCATGCAATCCTGGGGGACCTAGTCACAATCCGTAATCCGCATCCTTCTTCCTTTCACTTTCTCGTGCCGTCAAAAGTCTCGCTTAATCCGTGTTCTGATTGGTTTGCTTAATCGGCGCTGCAAGTTGCTGGAGCATGGAATATCCATGCAAGCCATAATCCGAAATCCGCAAACCGCGAAACTTAGTCCGCAATCCGTTCATCATTGGGGATTAGGCTTTCAACAAGCTAGACATCCAGAACATGCGCAAAGCCGCGCCTACTCGGCCTCTGTCGAATCCGCTTCTGCCATCTTGTCCTTGAAGAATTGCTGCCTCAGCGCGATCCAGACCCAAACAGCCCAGGCTGCAGGAGGAGTCCTGCTTACCCAATGGAGTGCTGAGCTGGGCTTGCGCCCGATTACTTACGATGAGGGAAAGCATGTCACCATGATGCCGATCCCCAGTTGACATGGGAAACGAGTGAGGCCCGAAGAATAAGGCTCGACTACCACATAACATGTTGTCACGGGCTCCTGCACAAGACACGCCAATCACGCAGTGCTCAAAAGCGGTTGACTCGTGCCTTTCTCCTGCCAAACGCTCAGTCCGTGTGCTGTTCCTTGCAACCGCACCAGTGCAACTGTTTGATCCCAAAAGCAAAGCGGCATAAACAACCACTCGCAACATTCACGCTCTGTCTGGGACCGGATACACCAACAGAAAGTTGCTGGTAATTCCTGGGTGGCATTTGGCCCGAACCCAGTCACAACATGTCTCAGCCTAATCTAACTGTGACAACGGCGCCTCTGGCCGCCGAGGGGCTGCTTCTTTTGCTGCAGTTCCACAGTCGACACCCGGGGAACCCGCAGCACGGATTTGGTGACGCGGATGTTTTGCGTCAATGGGTCCTCGGCTTGCAACTGTCGGCATTTGTCCTGGGATGATGCAGGCTCAAATGGGTATGGGTCAAAATGAAACCACCAGGAATTGGACCGCAGGTTTTAGTCCTTGGCTCCATTTACCAGGGTTTCATTTTGGGTACAAATACTGGCTTCATTGGCCGTGCCCCAATTCTGTCCTCGCATGCCCTGCTAAAGGACTTTGGGGTGAGGCACAACAGACCCGCTAGTGCGCAGCCGAGGCACGTACTGCGGGAAAAATGGCCTCGTCAAAGAATCGCAGAACTGGGAGATCTTGTGCTTTGCATCCTGAAGGCAAACGAGCTCAGGTTGGCATCTACTTCAGCAACTGTGGGAGGTCGCATGGAAGCAGCGTGGAAACCAGGCAAATCTCCACAAAAGAGTGCTTTTCCCTGCCCTTGAATGCAAAACGGCTCTGGAGGTGTTCAAAATTCGACGCCCCATTGCTGCAGCTGCAGCAGCAGCAGCAGCAGCAGAGTAGAAGCAACAGCAGTATATAGTAGCACTGGTGGTGATGGCAGTAGGAGAAGAAGTAGAAGTAGAAGTAGAAGTAGAAGTGGAAGTGGCAGTAGAAGTAGAAGTAGGAGTAGAAGTAGAAGTAGAAGTAGTAGTACTAGTATTAGTATTGGTATTAGTATTCGTATTAGCATTCGTGTTAGTATTGTAGTATTAGTACTAGTATTAGTATTAGAAGTAGTGATAGTAGTGGTAGTAGTAGTAGTAGCAGTAGTACTAGTATAGTACTGATAGGTCGTAGCAGGAAGTGCGGTAACGTGGCAGTAGTTGTTGTAGTTGCCAATTTCAGGCTGCAATGTAAGCTTGCCTTCTGCGCCGGAAACAGGGAGTCCCAGTACTGAGTGTGTGGCAAGGAAGCAAATGTTTGTCAGAAGGCAACTCTGTATGTCAAGGCATCCTTGATGGCTACCGTGGCTGCAACCTTGGCGGTCCTGCAAGCTGTCTGCGCAAAACATCACCGGCTGGTAGGTGGTAATCCTGGGTTGGCGGCAGCCGTTGCAACACACAGGACATGGTTTGATCCAGTTGCCAACCCTGGCATGGAGCCAAACACAAGGCAACCCCTCACGCGGAAGAGCGTCTGCAAAATTGGTGAGCAAACAGGCAGCCAATGTTCACAAGCAATGCTACAACGCGCCCTGGTCGCAAAAAAGGACACATCCACACAGGTGTGACTTCGGCAATCCACCCATCCCTTGTGGCTTCATTCAGCCGAACTTCTGTAATTGCACCAATTGAGTGTGATCACCGAGTTGCATGGACCCTTAAGGTGTGTGAGCTATGTTGGGAATGCAAACGCATTTGGAACACACGACAGACCTTGCACCCCTGACAGCCTCCAGAAAGTCAAGCCCAACTCCAAGCCAGGGAGCGGGTACTCCTGCCTGGCGGCCTGGCCAATCCGCGGGGCATGAGAAAGTGATGCGGGGCCAGCGCGGATCATGCACAGATTCACACTGATACCTGTCAACACTTCTAAGCAAGCTCCAGTTTTTGTGTTTGCCCCATTTTGCCCCAAATCTACAAGTCTGTCAATTCTTCGCCGTTCGGCTCCTGGGCGTGTTGCCCCTTCTAATTACATTGAGGAATTGGTCAGAAGGAGGTCCGTCATACACAGCGCACGCGTGGGGATGGCCAACTCCCACATTGCTCAAGCGAATTCAAGGCGCCGCCCGCAACTCTGAGACGAACTAAGAAGACACTCCGGGAGTAGCGTGCGCAATGCCCTGCGGTTCTTTCAAGGGAACATCGTGCTCGGTGGCCAGTCACAGCCTGCCGCAACTCAGCCGTTGCTACCTTGCGTTTCCCGCAAAGCCGCGCAATGATCGTTCCCCGCTGGAATGTATTCTTGTGAAAGGCTGGGAAGGCCATGGGCCTCGCGCCACTGTCGAAAAAGGCGTCTTGCGCCTCCCAGGGGTCCAATGGTCTCAGCTCAGGCTGCAGCAGGTCCTTCATGCTGCCCATGTCCCTGCACTCCTGGAGTCACAAATGGCTGTGGGTCAAAACCCTGTACCCCTGGTGAACATCAAAACAGGTGGCAAATGGATGTGCGTCCACCCCAAAATGGAGCCATAGGTTATGCCCCATGGCCAAATGGCATGTGCAAACACGAGCATCCGACAAGTGCGATTTAGTAAGTTTATAAGTTTTCGGAGTCATTTTGCCGGACGAGATCTCCGCTGCTTTCTCACGGCTTCAAAAGCTCACCCAAGTCACGTTCCTGGGAAGGCGCGCCCGAGCAGGCCCACTCCATCTCGCCGAAGGAGCTCAACACCCCCGCGCCGAACGCTTTCACCTGGCCGCCTGCCACGCGGAACGTAGGTGGTTTTAAAGCAACGTGAAGGCAAAACATCAGCTGCAGATCCACTGCGCGCCTAGAAGCCACTTGCAAAAGTGCAGGCAACCAATGCCGCGACGGCATTAAAACACATTGTGCTGGGCTGTCGCCTTCTACACATCTGCTAACTGCATAGAAAGAAACCCTCGATTTTTCACGGCAAAACTGCGCACCGCCTTCGCGAAGCAGGCCGAACCTCAGGAGGCAAATGTCTGACCCCGTGTGCGCTGCAATGCAGCATTTGTGGAACAACTCTGCGCTCCAGGTTGCCGTGCGCGCTCTGCGACTCGTCTGCTTGGAATGAGTAGCACTGAGTACACACGGCTGGGAGTAAAATCTCATGAATTGGCTGCTGTGACTCTGAACATCTGATGAGTTTCTTCCCATCAGGACAGACATGAGGTGAACCATTCAAACGCTCCTTTGCACCGCTTGCCGGGTACTCCCATATGCCGTCCAAGCACTCCACTGTGAACCAGTACACCGACGCCAGCTTTGCCACGTCATCATCCGACGCGGCCAAAGATGCCAAGCCTTGCGCTTTTAGCAGGGGAGTGTATGAGATGTGGCACAGGTTTACCAAGTCACAAGCCTTCCTAAACGTGGACCCTGAAGCCCAACGCGCAGCAATGCCCTAGAGCCTCCTTGACTGGACTTGAAGTTCTTGGGCACAGCTACAGCATTTTTAGCTGGCTAGTGGCAATTATGCATTTGCTTACCACTCCCTATCAAGCACGAATCATGCTCAGACATGTGCATACCAGCCCCAGTCAACAGATTCGCTCAGCTGCAGGGATAGGGTCACTTGATGGCAGGGCGCCGACCTGGAATCAGCCCCGACATGCTGCGACACTTTTGGTGCTCAGGGCATTTCGCAAATGGACTCGACCTACAGTTGGATCAAACATCTCTTGAGTTCCCACGATGCATAGTGAGGCCAATCCACAACAGGTGCCTCGCGACCTTTTCATCAGAAGAGGCTGCACACCCCAGCTTCCTGAATGGTTTCCTTTCGGTTTCCTCTACCATCATACTGATGGACGAAATCCATTTCGCACCTAAGAAATCCTGGAATGCTGACCCCCCCTGTAAATACCAAACAAACGGTTTTCCATGGTCCATGGTTTTGGTGCTGGTTTTCCACGGTGTTCCACGGTGGTGCGAAATGGATGTCGCAACCGTCAGTACCACCCACCGGATCCGAGGCGCCGATCTCCTGAGAGAAGTCCGCGAAGGCGGGGTTCGCGAAGAGCGGCACGTGGCCCAGGAGCTCGTGGCAGATCTGACGGAAAGGTGGGGAACATTTGGGGCATCCGGGTTTCTAGTTGTGGGTTTTCCCCCCTACACATCCTACATCACCTCTAGCCAGCCAAAGGTGGTGGACAGGTGATGGGTTTTCCTCTACATCACCACTAGCCCCAGCCGAAGGTGATGGGTTAATCCCTACGTCAACTCTAGCCAGCCAAAGGTTTGCAATTTCATGCACATATGCTGCTTCCCAGCCGCACATGCATCATTGTTTGCAAGCAGTTGTCAAAATCGCTCCACCAACAGGGTTCCAGGACACATGCACAAGCTGCGCACAAAACAAACATCCGCCTCAATAAGCATGTTTTTCCATTCAAGCCAGGAAGAGATGTTCACCGCAGGCAAGATTCTGTGCAAAAGGCCGCAAGTTGCTTAATCAGGCTTAATCAATTTTGTCCGAGGTACGTCGGGCTCTGGCGTGTAGAAAGGATTCCCATGATGCCTCCCAGGCACCGTGGATTGTGACTCGCCTCAACGATATGGGTATATGCATAGGTGGCCTTTTAAACAAATAGATGGCCCAGGCAAATGGAATAACCCCCATCTAAACCAGTGCCATCAACTTTTAACTAAGCTAACCTAACAAGGACACTTATGGGTACATGCATGTCAGAGTAGGGGGGGGTGGTGTCCTCTTGGTTCTCCTTTTAAACAACCTGACTAATATCCCCTGAAAGAAACACACATCCTTCCCCGCAATGGCAAGGCGCGCTGCCAAAACATGCCAAATCCACTGGCCAAATCATGGCTCACCCCGGGCCTGATGTACTGCGTGGAGTAAAATACCTCAGCAACGAAGACACTGAAACGGCGAGCGCTGCGGTTTGACATGCCCAAATCACATGGTTCCAACTTCACACAGCATACGTATCTGACAAGTAGAATGGATGACTTCCAGGAGAAGTCTCATGGAGGGTGGCAAACCTTGGGTCGACGCATCAGGCTCAAAATGGCGGGTATGGGTCTGCTGCTCTGCGTGCAAGGACATAGTGGGTGCAGCAAGCAGCTGACAAGCAGCACGCACCTGCTGAAAAAGAGCCGCACAGTTTGCCATTTCTGAATCTCGGCTTCGCTGACATCCCAGGCCCTAACGCCAGTCACTCGTGCTCCTTCTCTTGTGACCTCTGGGAACTCTTTGCGCTTTTGCGGCACCTTCCGGCAGGCCGCCTGGGTCCAACAGCACCCTCCAGCCGTGAGATACAGGTACTTCATCATCTCCGACACACAGTTCGGGAGCGGCTGCAAGGTTGCAAGTGCTCGCAGATGTCTTACACTGAGGCGAGGCGTTCGTGCGTCTGACCGATGGGGTCAAATCAGGACTTCTGAAAGCTGCCCCGGGGGTTGGTAGCAGGAAGAGCAGGAGAGCAGGTAGATGCAAAGACCAGTGCCTCAGCTTGCAGTAGGCCCAAGGTGCTATATGGTGCTATGAACCTCCTGCAGCCCCTCATTAAAACCAATGACATGCGCCTGAGATGCGGAAAGCAACCCACTTCAGAGTATGAAGGCTGACCACACCACAGCACAAGCAGCCACTAGCTGAGCCGTCGCTTTCTTGCCAGGGTAAGCCTTTGTGGGATGGCCCACAATCTCGAGGAAGTCGTGAAAAGGACTATGTTGTAGATACAAGATCCACCGCTGGACTTGCAAGTGGATGTCCCTCACCCATTCCTTTGCTTCTACAAAAAGAAGGGGCCGCCAATGAACTGCTAGCTGAACTCAACTCTGCCAACCATTCATGCCCATGCAACCACAATTGTTCATAGCATCGCTTTACCCAACTTAATTCGTTTGAGCAACGCCCCCCAAACCCGTTGTCCTTTTGGTGCTACCAACAAAACAGTTCCAATATTTGGCCTTACTACTTCCCACCAGAAGAATGGGTGGTGCGCCTACCCAAGATACCATTGGTTTTGACCCACAGCCAAATCACTCGGTTCCAGGTTTCGGGTGTCGCGTCGAGGCGCCCGCCAAGCCCAGGACCACCGGCAGAAGCCGCACCAGGCGCCAGAGCCGCGAGCTGCTCCTCGTCTTGACCCCGCAGACTGCGAAGCCCCCCAGCGCGCCGCCCAAATGCGCCCAGGAGTCGATCCTGGCTCGTCTCTTTGGGTTTTTGGGGAGGCTTTGCCAAACAAACCAACTGCAAAGCATTGCAAAACCACGTTTCTTTTAAAATTGGGGAGGCTTAGCCTTAAAGACGAATCCCTTGAAGCACGTTGCATTGGCTTGCTCGTGCCTCAACAGGTGGAAAGCCGATTTTGATCGGAATACGTCGGCATCTTTCTCAGAACGAACCGTGTGCCGGGTGCTTGGACAAGTTGGGTCGTCAGGAGAATCAGTTGGACTCTTAGCTGTGCGGCCCAGGTGCTGTGGCAAGAACAGCCCCGTCACAAGCGAGATGATGAGGACAAAGGCCTAATTTGAGAACTTGAGCTGAATGGCTCAATTGGGCACAAGGCTGCGCTCGCAGCCCATTTAGCCTTTGTGTTCGGTAGGTTCTTAACACCACTAAGGACGTGCCCTTCGGGGGCCTCCGTCAGTTGGCTGAGCCGTGCCAAGGCACCAGCACTTGCCAGCGCAGGCAGCCTCGAGCCGCCTGGAAACGCCGAGGACAAGCCTCGGGCAAGGATGCAAAGGCACGGTCAAATCTGAGGGCCCTGCGGTTCAACCACCATTAAACACAGTGGGGGTTGACAGAACCACCATTACTTACCTAAGCTTTCTCATCATCCATTTTTTCAACGATTCTTTTAATTGGGGGTTGAACCCCATGGATACCTTGCTGGCATGAAAGCTCATGAAACGAAAGCAAAGCAACCCTAGATGACAACTGCGTAATGGTGGTATTTTGCCTATAGGCATACTTGTTCAAATCCATGGGGCCCAGGAGAGTTGCTGTGCGCAGTCGTCTGCGCAGGCAGCAGCCAGCAAACCTTGGTACTAAAGTGGCCAGGTGCCGCTGTCTGTCCAAGATAGGTTGGTTCTGGTTCAGAGTAGGCCAGGCCTAGAAGAGCAGCCTGGTTGCTCGACGAACACCATCCATACCCAACTTGCCCAAACACCAAAGCCGGAAACGCCCAACGTACATCAGAAGAATCAAACGGCCCGACAAAGAATCAAACACAACTTTGCGCAGAGTTCTGGCGCTCCCTGCTTGAGCCCCAGCACAATGACATGTGTTCTGGTGCCTGGGTGCAAGGTGTTTTGGCCTGTGGTGTACAGAACCGGGACTGGCACGTGCGTGTCACACGTAGAGTTGCTCGTGGCAGGACTTGCTTCGGCAATCGCCGTGTCTTGTCGCATGGAACCCCTTGCTGGCTAGTTTGTGCCATTCGCACCAGGTTCAATTTTTGGGCGGTTGCTTCGGGCCGATTTGTGCGTCAAGGCAAAGCGGGCTCGCGGGCTCAACAGCACGTCAAACCGACTTTACGCGGAGAAAAGGCCCACATAGAATTGTCTCGAAGCCTCAAACTGAGTTCAGTCCCGTGTGTTTTCCCCAGCCCCAAAAAAGGGAAGCCTCAACAAGCCCCAAGCAGCCCGAGCGGGAATTCAGTCCCTCACTTCCTCAGTGGAACTTTCCATTTACCACTGAAATGGTCCAACCCCAAAAAGTGACAGAAAGTGAGCGCCTCCAGGGCCAACCAGCCCGCCCGCCCGCCCGCCCCACTTTTTGCCTTTGGGGCGCCGTGAGCCGCGCCGCTGGCGCCCACGGACAAGGCCCCTGGCCGCGACAGGGCGGCGGAGAGCAGAAAGCCACCGAGGCCGCTGACCAGGTGGAGCTGGGCCACCCAGACCTCACTGAGGTCTCGGGTTTTCGTCAGACCCCTCTGCTGGTGGTTTTGAAAAGGGGAACCAAAAGGAACCCGTTGCCATGTTTCCATTTTTGGGGATTTCCCTACAAAAAGAAGAGCAGAGATCAAAGGGGGTTCAGTTTCATCCAGTTCGGTTGCATTTCAATCTTCTCCTGCTGGCTGTGTTATTGATTCACGCCTCAACTGAGCCTCAATTGAATGTTCCAAACAAATCCTACAAACTCATGAGAAAGGCGAACAGTGTGAGTGAGAATCTCATTTGTGGATGTCACCTGATTTCAGCCACTTGCGCTCCTTGCTGGCCGCACTGGGGCCTTATCCTTGCATCTAGCCAAGTGGCCAGGCCCCATGCCAACTCTACCGCAGCGCCGATCACGCATTGCACCAGCCTGGGCGCCCGGTGAGCATGTTGCTTTTGGGACAGGGAATGCTTTTTGTCACAGCCGCAGCTGTCGGGAAAGTACCTCAAGCCTCAGCAGATTCCACTCCAATGCTTGATTGAATTCATATTCACGTCGTGCCTCTAATTCCATTTGGCCCGGCATGCAAGTCGACCAGCGCAAATTCAGCAAGCAAAAGAATCTTCCAGCAACATGGAACGGCCCGCTGGTGCCAACGAAACGAACACGCGTCCTGCATTTGTGCTCAAAGGACATGGCTGTTGCTAGTGAAGCTGCGTAGCCGCACTCTGACTACATTCGAAGCTTTCAGTGAGCTGCCTCATGTTCCTGCGTCCCTGTTAGGGGGTGCGTTCGGGGTGAGATAAGGCCCTTCTTCTCTTGGCCGCGGGGACTGGAACGCTTGCTGTCGCTGAATAAGTTTGTCAGTTGAGAGCCCTCTGGCTGCGACAGCTAGTGCTCTCACGCAGCACGGCCAAATCAAAGGCGTGGGGTGTTGAGGCGCAAACGCAGCGTTGCACACTGCACTCGCCGCGCTCTTTGAACCTTTCGTGCCAGGCTCAAAATAGCAAGTTGCCCACGAACCGTGGCCACAGGCAAGGAGCAGGTTGGAAACCAAGTGGACGATCCCCGCGTGCAAGAACATCCTCAGCCAAGCCGCAGTCTGTTTAGGGACTGACCTTGCGTTGCAAAATTACTCTCAGGCCTAACAACTGGCCCACGCCAAACCAACACCTCTGTCATTTGCGTCACCATGTAGATCACACACCCATGCAATCCCATCAAAAGCGCATGCCAAATCGCAAGGCCGCGCGTTTCGCAGAATCGCAAATACGTCCCGATTTGCCCAAGCCGAGCAACGCAGTGAAGAGGCGCCACACCTGACTGCCATCTTCGCAACTGAGCCCTTGGTCACAGCAGCAACCCTCAATTGCTCAGAGCCGGAGAATTCCTCCCTTGGACCCAGGTGCTTTCTAGGAGGCCAAGCCGGAATGTCTTGCTTCTTATTTGTAAATGTGGCCATCCAACACAAAAGGTCTTCCGGCCTCTCAACCTTGCACTCAAGAGGCTTGGCAACCGGAGTGGATGAGCACAAGCTCTGATATACTTCAATTATATTGCAGCTGTTCAACAACCACTGGGAGCGAACGCCCTTCTCTTTTCCCATTCCAGGGCCTGAGGCTGCCCTGGTTTAGCCACCGTGCGAAGAAGCTGGTGTGCTTATGATGAGGGCAACAATTGCAATTGCCAAGAGTTATGTTGCGTCCCCAGTGTTGCAATCCCCTCTAAACTCGCCGCAAAGCTTCCTTGAAAGAAAAGCGGACACCAGGAAAACTTGATGCGAAAACGCACCCGGCACGCGTGCTTCGCGACTAGCACTTGCCCTAACAACCCAATAAAAACCAATAAATACAAGGCGTATTTCGCATTGCAGCTGGTTTCATCGCTCGGCTAGGTTAGACCCTGGTCGCACCTGCTTCTGTTCCTGCAGCTGAAGACCGCCACATTGGTAGAGCGTGGCCATGCTGGGCCCTGCCAAACAAAGCCACCAAGTGCAAATACAAGGGCACTCAAAAGGGTTCGACCAGGAAAAGCCGTCCAGGGTCCCCGTGAAACATGCTCATTTGTACGGTCGCTTACTAGCTTTGCAAGGAATGGCTTTAAGTCACAACGCTTCCCTGCGTGAAACGGTCTGTGCCAGGGATACTTGTCCCAGCAAATTCCGGCAAGCGGCGGGGTGGAGGCGTCAAGCATCCAAACGCACTATAGCTTGGAGCGTGCGTCTTTACCCAGTTCTCGGTTTTTACAGCTTTTTGTCAGCTGTTTCCGCGCGCAATGTAACTATTCTTACAGATGATGCTCAGGTGCATTCTGAAAGAGAGCTAACTCACTTAGTTGAACTCTCTGGCCCGGGGTCGGTTGAGCTCTTCGACTTGTGTCACGTGGGAACCTTCCCACTCAACCGGTGTCCCGAGGCTTCAACCCGTGGCCGCTACACTGGCTCATTGCATTCCAGTCGCGATGATGGCATCAGCTTCACTATCGCAACAAACCAAAAGGTTGCATGTCCGCCGTGCTCCCAGCCTATCTCGCCACTCCGCAGCTCAGGACCCTCGTTCACGATGAGGGTGAAGCCTGGTGTGCTTTCGGGGGAAGGCCTCTTGCCTAATGGGTGACTTGCGCGTATAGACTGCAGAATAGACTGCAGATGCCTCCAAAACGTACGAATCTAGTTTCAGAGTACCCAAACGCTCCTGGGGCTTCCAATGGAAGACCCAGACCCTCCATTGCACACCCCGGACAAGTTTTGGGGTCTCAAAACCTGGATGTTTGAGGGCCCAAAGTCAATCGGGAGCCTCTGGGTGCCTTGCTGTTACTTGCCTTGACTGGCGCCTGCGGAGGGCCACCAATGGCTACCAGGGCACAGAATACGCCCACCTCCACTGTGGCCACACAGAGCAGGAACAAGGGCACCGGAAGTGATTCCTCAGAAAAATCCCATGCGAAGCCGCGCTGGTCATTGCAAATTTCGGTGGGGGGGGGAGAATACCCAAACACTTGCGTTGCACACGTCTCCATGGAAACGTGGAATTGTCAATGTACAGCACTTGATGCCGCAGCAGTGGCAAACCACGCGGCCATTAAGGCTACAAACCTCGCTCTTGCGAAACACAAACGCAAAAACTACACTCGTTACTGGAGTCTGTCAATCCCTGTTGCAATTGAACCGCGACAGGTGAGAAGCACCACTGACGACCCAGCTGTGACAAATACCGATTTGTTCGATGTCAATGCAAAGCACTGACCTATACCGAGATATGATAAGTCGCTAGATCAATACGAGAAGCCCTTCCTGCCAACAGCACGGCATCCCAAAGAGAGGCCTTCATGTTCCGACCCAAAGGTCAAGGGGGTGTCTTGATCATTGCGTGCCGGCAAGAAGCGCCTTTCTCTTCAGGGTAGTTCTCCAGATTGCTCTGATCCTCACTTGCCTGCGGGAAACGGATGGGATCGGCTGGCACCAATCCAGCGAGTGACCGGCCACCCAAGACGATCGAATCTGCCGCGAGTTGCCGTGCGATGTTTGTCCTCCCCGAAGCACTGCAAGTAAAACCGACCCGGGTTAGCAGCTGGCCATTCGGAATGGGCGTTTATCCAAATGAAGAAAGGGTCTCCTTTGGTCAACTTTGGTACTTCGGCTTTCCCCTTAGCAACTCCAACAAGGGAAGCATCATAAAATATGCCCACATCTCCGCCTGGACATGAGGCTGAGGATGAGCAACTGCCGAATTAACGGAATGCATATCCCAGATATGGCCATGGGTCAAAATCCCGTACATCCAGTGAACACCCCAATCCCCACTAAAATATCGACTAAAATGGGTGGCGCACCGAAAGCCCCAAAATGGTACCAAAACGGGTTTGACAACCACAGCCATATCCCACAATGTGTGGCCTTGGCATGTTGATGGCCACGAACTGGTTCCCATCTCAATCGCTCTCCTGGCCTTGGTGCCTTTTCGCCAGAGGCGTGGCAGGGCGGTCCGCTCTGCGACCACGACCTGAAGGGCAGTCGGCTTAGCTCTGGTGCTGCCTCCTTCCTTTTGGGAAGTTATTGGCAGGGCCAGCACGTGATCAAAACCCAAGTACAACAACTTCACATGCATGAATATAACGTAAGATTGTAAGAATGTGGCTCTCTAGCTGAAGAACTCCATTCTTTCACATACCTGTAGGTACGATGCTCACATATACCTCTTGATTGGCTATGCACTACGCTGCATCCACATCCTTTCAGCCCTCCGTCAACATCGCGGGCCTCCTCTATGCCATCCATGGCCAGCGCCGGCGCCAGCCCTTGGAAGTAGAAGCACTGGGAGCAAAGCTGGTCCTCAGAGCTGTTTGGCCATCGATATCTCACGCAAGTTCGGGAAATCGAAAGGCCATCTATATCAAAAGGTTTGCTTTGGGTAATCAAATGGTTTCTACATCTCACTCAAACTAGGGAAATCAACATGTTCGCTTTGGGTCGGCCTATCCGCCCAACCTTCTTCGAGCTCGAAGCGGAAAAAACACCGCGGAACGGCTCCAACGCAAGGTTTCCCCAAGCCCAGCGGGCCATAGGCTGGGCCACATGTAAATGTAATGAACCACCCTGAAGTTTTGGTGACAAGTGCAAAATTGTCAATTGCTGCAAATCCCAAGCTAAAATTTGGACGCAATCCCGGTCCGACCACCAGCTATCCTCCCACATGGCATTGTAGTCACGCTGAGGGAAATGCCATCTTCATCCTGATGTCATAGCATGAACCCTTACCATGCGGAATAGGGGACAGGGTGGAATGCAGGAGCTGGAGGCGTCAACGATTCGAAGAAGTTTTTGCAATGACCTCGCTCCCAAGCTCCCCACAACTCTTCCCCTCTTTACCCTTGTTCCGCTAGCTTCCTCACGTTCCTGAGGTTGCGCACCTTGACCACAATCCTCAACCTCTTCAATGAAAGGCACAAACTCCTTGCGATTTTTCTCCCCGCCGGACAGGGCCGGCAAAATTTCGGGCTGCGTGCCAAAACGGCCAAAAAGGCACAACAACAGGCCACGTCTGGCAGCGAAACATCTTGCGGGTCAGCGTCCCATTGGGGGTTCGCCAGCTTGCCGCAGCCCAGGCGGCAGCGTAGGGCGTGCAGGTGCATAGCGGGGACATGAATGGACTCGCTGAGTTGCAGGCGGTGCAAATGGCCATGGGTCAAAAGCCCGGTTCTCCCCCAGTGAACATCCCAATCACTGAAATTCCGACTAACATGGGTGGTGAATTCACCTACCAACCAAAATGGCCCTTGGTTTTGACCCACAGCCAAATGAAATGTCCTTCTATTGCATAATGCAACCTGCAGCAAATAGACACGATCAACTGCGTAAACCCAGTGTGGTGCATCCCTCCGTCGCTGGTTTCGTCCCAAACTAGGCATCTCTGTGAAGCTGGTTGTCCTGGGAGCAGAATCAACCCTTGCAACCGCAATCAGGCTTAAGCAGCATATGTCGCAATTCTGTAAACTCAACATATGCCGGAGTATGTGGACAGCAATGCCACCTAATACAACTGTAAAACAACCGCCAGCTGCCGTGAACACCGAGCCGTTTGTTAGTTGGTTGTGCCGGAGTTCAGCCTGCGAGTCTAGGCCCTAACATGCTGCAAGCCAAATCTGTGTAGCAAAATGTGGCGGCTCATGTAGTGGCTGTTGTCGGACTGGTGTCGCAGCATCCCGCATGCGGGTAATACGCAGAATCTATGCTGCTCATTGACGTGGGGATCGTGTGGATCACAACAGCGTTCCCAACGAGTCCAAAACCCGGCATTGGAAAGTTAAATGGGCCTTGCCATGGAAATCAGTGCAACACGACAGGATGGTGACCGTCCTCTTATTAGCAGCCTCCGATGCATGCCAAACGGCAAAGCCTGCAAGCTGCTAGCTGAATCTAACGTGATCCAAATCAGCCGCCGAAATGGGGCCACATACTCAGTCCCAACCATCATGGCAAACTTGATCTGAAACCACGGAATCCCGTGGATTCTCCATCCGTGTAGTCAGCAAAAGTGTTCAAGACACCAACCCACGCGGTTAAGATAAAGTAAAGAGCAGGTGATGCCCTGTTGTGCCCCCTGCTGCTTGGTTGCACGGAAAGCCAAGGCATTGAGGAAGTCCCGGGCAGACAGCAGGCCACTGATGGGCCTCAAGATGGATGAGTGAGAGCCGCAAGACCTCTTGTAAAATGACACACGGGGAACAAGCAGTATTACATGGCGTCATGCCATCTCCCAAGTGAAAAGAATCCTTGTGAGTACCAAGGAGAAAGTTTGCAGTGCTTTTGCGTTTTTGGCTGACTGCCAGGTAAGGGGCCCTCGCAGTCAGAAGGCGTTGATTCGCATCTAGTGTCGCTTCATCTCGCGGCTTGATGGGGATGGGCGCATTCTACGGGGCAAATGAGAAATTCCGAGGCTTCTACGTGGGCCACATTCTCTGGGCCACAGTCCGCCACCCCCCAGTTGCAGTGCTGGCTCAACTGCGTGCCAGAGAGCGGAACGCACACATCCAAACTCCAAACTTCCCGAATCTCAAGAAACAAGTGATCCTGCATTAGTTTTTAACCCCCTTGGCTTCGCGGCCGGTTAAAACATGTATAGACATGCATTGCACGCAAGTTCAAGCTATCACGCCTGGCTGCGGACGAGGGGCCGCAAAGTGAAGCCAGTCCGCTGCTGCAGAAAGTCGGAGATGTCCCCCAGCCTAAGATACCGCAAGTGATCTGCTCTCCTCATAGGTGTCCTTTCAGGGGAAATTAATGGCCCTGGTAGATGATGAAACCACCAGGTAAACCAGGGAAACCCATCTATTTGTCGACCAAAACAACCAAAAAGGACTGACCTGCTGTAACTGCTGTTTTCCCAGTTGACCCCCCTGCTGAAGAGAACAATTTGGCCCACAATAGCATGAGGCGCAAGCTTTGTACAGGATGTTCTTCTGTCTAAGCAAAGCTTTGAAGGCAAGCAAGGCAACGGCATTGGCCTCCTTGTTTCGAACGCAAATCTCTAGCTCCTCTGTGCTTGCTTCGGCCCCAAGCTTGTGCGTGGCGCTGCGTGTAAGAGATTGCAGCCTAGCATCTGAGGGATGTTGTTCGGCGCATAGCCTGCAGTTGATGCCATCTTTGGTTCGTGCGAAGCACGCATCACATGCATCACACAGCCAAGTCAAAGTGCAGAAAGTGGTCATGATCTGCCTTTATTTCTAGACTAGTAGAGCTTCCTTGAGTTGCTTGCTCATTCTGCCAACTTCCATCTCACAAAACTTTCTGCGCATGATTTCAAACGATCCCGATGCAACAGCCCGAGGTGCCGCAGTACTTCTCCATCTGGGGCAGCATCTCTCCTTAGCGAGCAGGGCTCCCTTCGTGCTAATCACCCCAGTGTCAAATCAAAACCGAGATGTGAGGCCATGCTCCGGCAATGTCGAGATGGGCGGCCCTGTGTTTGTATCTGAGGGGCATCGCAATGACTTGCTTGAGCAAAGGCGTGTCTTTCGCGCGAGTCAATTTGGTTGCCCCCCCAAAATAGAAACAAGACCCTGGCCCTGGCACTATAGAGTTTTATGTTTTGCGCGGCTGAAAGTCCCATCACTTCGGACACCTATACACACTCAGACACACTCAAAGCGTCTTGCGCCGAGGCACGGTACTCCGTGCAGGCCCATTTCTCGTGCAGGGCAGTCAGCCTCTCATAGACTGCCTGGCGCGCCACCCACTCAACACTATTGAGCTCTTTAAGGGCCATGCGCGCACTATCGATCCCACTTCCTCTTGAGTCTACTGCTGAAAATGGCCTGCCTCGAGATACTAGGAAGACCCTCAGGCTTCATCGCAAATGGAATAGCCAGCCATCAAATGGTCAATTCACAGCGCAAGCACAAACGTATGAAAACAACGCAAAGGTATCTGCTTGAAGCGATGCTTGTGGGCGATCTTGCTCAAGCCGGCTCATTGATTCCATTGGCACATGCCGCCGCCTGCCAAGTTGCTGTCTCCTTGTCTGTGTACCTGGCGTCACCGGTTCTTTCATGGCCCCCTGTTGGCAAATTCAACATTCTGCACATGGAGGGACCATGTCGCTGGGGCACTGGATGCGCGGCAGTTTGTCCCCATGCCGGTAGGCCTTCGCCAAAGACACAATCTCAGTGCGCCTGCGGCAAGCGAAGAAGCGAAGCAGCGAAGCCCTCCTAGTCGCATTTGGAGACCAATTTTGTAGAAGTCAAACACCTCTCGCATTGCCCCACTTTGACCTCGGCCCAATGTGCCACCCCGATGCTCCCCTAGCTTCGGGCTCCGTCTGGATGCCACAAGTACTACAAAAACCACACTTGGCGAACCCTAGCCCTGCCCAATCTCCCCCTGGAGACGACAATGCAGCTGGGTAAGAACTCACGCTCGTGGAAATCCCCCTCTAACAAGTTCGGCATATTTGCCTGCTGGTCATCTTCTTGCCAAGATTCCCCTTCACACTGGACGGGTTTATTTGCGCTGCCGCTGCAGGCTGGTTGTGCGACCATGCGATCCATACGTGGCGCTGTAGCTCTTCCTTTCCCTACTCTCCCAGCATGATGTGGCTGTGGGTCAAAAACCAGTACCCCTGGTGAACATCCCAATCCCCACTAACATAGACTAAAATGGGTGGTGCACCTACCCCAAAATGGTACCATTGGTTTTGACCCACAGCCATGTACAAACACTGGCCTGTCTCGGTATGCGGGGTCGTTAAAGCCCGGGTGGTCCTGCGCGTGTCGTTTGCCCTTCGCGAACAATGTTTTGCGCCTAAGCATGAATGGTCCAAATGGGGGCCAAGAATGTTGAACTGCCCATTTGATCACTAGCTCGAATGACGGTTGAATGACCGTGATATGGAGACAGCTCAAGCCAAGCTCGGTTTATGGTTGTTAGAAAGGCCCTGCATCCACAGATGGGAACCCCTACAGCACAGCCCCAAAACAAGAAAGCATGCAAAAGAACATCTCGCTAACCCTTTTGCACACCCAGAAGCCAGAACAGCAGCAATGGGTACAAGCAGGTAGCTACACGCCCCTCGCCACGTTCCTTGTTGATGAGGGCGGTACCGCCATCCAGCGTATCTATTGTCAGATCCAGCTCCCGAATGTTCAGAGGAAACCTCGGTACAGCAGGAGTCTGGCAGTAGCACGATGCTACCAACATATGCAACAACCCAAACACAATGCGTCGCCGACACGTACCCATGCGCCATGTCAAAGCAGACCCATAAGGAACCACCAATGCGCACAACAAGTTACAAAGCCTGACTCTGTGTTGGAGTCCAGTTGCTGCCAAGGAGCCAAGGCACATCCCGTGGGCGCTGCGCACTCACATCGTAGACACCCGGCAGCACCTTGATGTCCTCCGCGCAATCTCATGTAAGTGACACCCTACATAGGCAGCATGCAGCCTTTTGTCACTAATCTTCCACCGGAGCAAAAATGCACACCAAACTCTGACAGCCCTTGATGCTGCCGCATGCCGCCATCCACCTGTTGGTGTCAGCTTTTCTTTCAAAGTCCCTCTGCCAATCCGATGGCATGTTATGAAGCTAAAGCACCGATGGCTGTCATTGCCTGTCAACCCACGTGCCCGGTTCAGCCCTTGGGACACGCGAAACTCCTTCATCAAACTCTGCACCTCGGAGTCCTGGCGAGATGTGTCCCTGGGCTGTTGAAACATCGTTGACTTGATTGGAAAGCCATGGAAAGCAACCGCACAATTCACCAAGAAACTCCGGAGAGGAAACATGGGGAAAAACAACTTATGCCCTGCGGCTGCGCAGCACCAAAGCTTGCAAGGGGCCCTTATAAGCCGGACCTGCAAGTCTAAGGGATGCGTGACTTGGCATGTGCGGAAAAAGGTGCCATCCCACCACGTAAACATGGAATTTAGCAAGCCAAGAGGGGAGGGAAAGCATCCATGACCCCCAATACACCCATTGCTTATTGACACCCATTGCGAAGTGCAGTACCAGTAGAAATTGCAGCAGCAGCGCTGCGAAGCAGCCCTGTCAAATGCCACACCGGGAAAATAAGCGACGGCAAACAAAGCCTGCAAAACAAGTTGAATATGCTCAAAGTTGACCAGGCCAGAACGGTCGCCTCTCGAAAAAGTTGGAAGTCGATTGCCAACAGCACTTTGGCTTTCTTGCATGTCTTGCCCTCCGCTGCAAGCAACTCTGCGAAGGCATCAAGGTATTAGATTGGTGCTGGTGGGGCTTGTGGGATGAGGGGTAAATCGCAAACCACCAGCCCATCCGTCCTCAAGGCGCCCTTGGAAGTCGATATGAAAGGAGGGCCCGTCTCGTGCAAAGGACTTGAAGCGCGACTCGATGTGCGTCATGTTGATGGACTGGGCGATGTAAGGGCATGGCAAAACATGGCCGAACCCAACTGCATCGGCAAACGCGCCTCCCAAATTCCAAACATGCACAGTCCAAACAAGGCATGTTGCATGGACCAACGGTGAAGAGTGGTTCGTGATCAGCAATGGTCGGCGCCCCTCATGTTGATCATGCTGCGCAAGCACACCATCGTGCGCAAACAATCAACACGAGGATGGCGAACCGACACGACCAGCAATGCAGCCAAACATGGCATCAATGCAGCCAAACATGGCATTTTACCAGTACAGTGACAACCCCCATCAGGGAAAACCACCCTAACCGTTCACTACAATGACGCCTCCAATTTGATCACGGCAGTAGCACCATCAAGGCCTGACTTTGATGCCAGCAGCATCAAAATGCAACAACAGGCAGCAAGCACCAAGAACCCCCCAGAGCAACACAACAACCTCCAATCTGCGCAGCATCACGCGCCACCATCACAACAAACGCCACCTCACAACCACTGCTGCCAAGCAGAACGGCGACACGCACCATAATCACTACAGCAAAAACAGCACAACCACAGCCAAAGACCAAGCCGAAACAACCACAACCAAGTGGCCGCATCTATCTCAACGCGTGCACATTTCGCCCTCTCTCTCTGAGGCCGAGTCCGAGCGAGTAAAAAGCCTCGGAGGCCCAGCTGTCAGCTTTCCGTAGGCAATGAAGGAAGTGCATTCACTCGACTCCCCATACACGAGCAATATCTATATATATATATGAATGTATGATTATGTATGATTATGTATATATATATATATACGGGTGTATATGTATATATGTATAGATTAGATCATGTATACATATCCAAGGAACTCTGTGGACTGCTCCGATGCTGCAACGCATGTATCCCTGGAATGAACGAACGTGCAGTTAGGCGGTATTCCCAATGCAACGCATGCCAACTGAAAGAGGATCACACCATCACCCCTCAGCTTTCAAGGAAAAGTGTGATACTTGACATGGCGCTCTCTTGCAACATGCTAAATGGGTATAGCAATTATCGGAATACCCTCAGGGCCCAGGCTCATGTCAGTTACCTTCTCTGAGCCTAGCGGTTTGCCTCTCGGAGCCAATGCAAAGCACCAACCACTTGGATCAATCCCAAGTCGAGTCGTGACCCGAGCTTCGAAACGGCGTGAGCATAGGTGTCCTTTTTGGGAAAATAGATGGCCCTGATCGTTGATTGAACCACCAGGTAAACCAGGGCCCTCTATTTTTTAACCAAGTCAACCAAATTTCAAAGGACACCTATGAGTGTGAGGCAAAAGGCAGCCGAGGTGCTCGCATATCTCGCCCAGAACACCTGGCTTGTCCTGCCTCACGTCCACGATGAGGAAGGTGCGAGGATCAAGCTCCTGCAAATCCTGCAGTTGCATGCGAGTCAGCACCGGGTTTCGATCACAGCGCGGCTGAGAAAACCCGTCTTGATCATGTACTGAATGTTCCCCTTCACCTGCTGTGTCAAGGACCCCTCATGCACCGAGGTGGGAATCCAAAATAAACCTAGGGCCTCTCTTGCCCCTGTCACGTCACTTGGGATTTCCGCTTGCCGAGCCGCAGAGCCCGGGCCGCAGAACCGCCGCAATGGGGCGGCCCTGGCGAGGCTGGGCCTGGCGTCCCCTTTGCAACCATGGGAAGCAACACGCACAAATGCTTGAGTCTTGGTTGACGTTGGAAGAGCAAAAATTGAAATTCTACCAGTTAAGTGGGGATTTTCCACTAAAACACAACAAGCAAAATGTGAAATGATTCCCAACAACAACCATGGAGTCAACCTGAGAATGGAGGGGAATCCTTCAGCGTGCACAGTCAGACGACATATTAGAAGGCAACGGGCAGTGAATGCATGCCACTGCCCCGAAAGGAGGCCCCTCGTAGCTTTAGCATCAAAAAACCAGGGGAAGCACACAGTTGACAGTTGTACTCAGAAGCAGGGAATGGGCAATTTGAGGGGGAAGGAGTCTATGAGCCGCCCTTGCATCTTCCAGCCCTGTGTGTTGCACGGGTCTCTTTGAAGGCACAAAAACTTCTGTCCCACTGTGCCAAGGCCTGTTGGGTGGATTGAGCACCAGCAGCCGGTCAAAATCGCACGCGCGAATCTTCATGGGGTGGCGCAGTATTGGGGAAGGTCTGATCCAGGTGAAGTCTTTACTGAAATACAAAAGCTTCTTCACCTGAAACACTTCAATTAAAGTGAACCCATCTAGCCCCTGATAAGTATAATCTCGGAAGGGCAGCACCTGAATGGCAAGCGACGAAGCATCTGCATGGCTCAAGGCCGCGAAATATGGCAAAATAAGACCTGGGACGTTCAACTATGTTGCCCATGTCTGGATGGCGCACTGCTCACAGGGCAGACTGTACATCATGTAATTCTCTGCGGTTAAGCAACCTCTGACTGCAACGTCTGAAAAACACAGTTGGACTGATCCCGGTGAGTTTCACTCGTGTGCCTTTGCATGTGGCGAAATGGCTGCAGCTTCCAAAGGGAGGCGAGGTGCGGCTCTGACTTTCATGCCTGCCGTCTTGAAGCAATCTTGCAGCTTCACAGCTGGTTGAAAATCTCAGTGGCACGTGAATAGATCTGCTCCCTTGCGAGGCTACGGGCTCGGGAAAGTAGAAACCGGCCATCTATATACACGGTATGCTTGCTGAGCTGCCCAGTGGAAATCGGGAAAAGCGTGCCTCGATGCATTTTCTTGCTGGCCATGCCATGTGGCGAGCTAACATGAGCCACCCCCGAGAAAAACAAACAGCTTAAAACAGCTGTTGGACAAGTGGGCTGAGTCACTAAAGGGAACAGGCAGGCCCTGGAGTGCTTTCTCCTCCACCTTTCCATCGTCTCTCCAAACACGCTGTACCCCGTTGGCCAAGTCCAAGCTATCTAGTCAGCATGCCAGGCGAAGGATGCAGCCGCCCTCCAGGGAAGCAACATGTTCATGTCAAAATTAGGAAGCGCATTGCATGCGGATTTCAATTAAAGCAGTCACGAGGACTTCAATTAAAGCAGTCACGAGGCAGCTGGAATGTACCCATGTTACCTTCCAGCTGATTCCTTGTAATTATATCTTGATGCCGGGGCGGGCATCGCTAGTGTCGACATGCAAAGTAGAAACCAACCAAGCCACAAGTATTTCGAACCAAAAGTATCTGACGGACTCTCCTGTCCATGCTGCAAATCATCTCTCGCCCCCATTGGCAGGGTGGCCCCCCTTCCTTCCACACAAACTGCATTGCCGACGAAAGGTTCACTGTCCTCAAATCCCCCCGCTAAACGTTTATCTTTAGTGGGTTAAGTGGAAAACACTAACAAGCTTCAAAGCTCTGGGAGCCATCCAAGGGTTGACTGGAATTTGCAGCATGTCCCCCGAATCCCAAGACGCTGCTGGGTCCCCCTGCTGCTTCACCAGGTGTGAGTGCCCGCTACTTATGGCTATGCCCAGCACGGTCTGACCATCCACCTCTGTCAAAGGCAGCTTGAAATTTGGAAATTCGTCCGGTGTCCGGAATTGGGTGCATAGCAACCTCAATCCACCTCCATCTCCTAGTGTCAACTTCTGATTCTTCAACGCCCTGCAAGAAAGTTTGTTTTGCCTGGCTGTGCGAAACCATGGGCGCACGGTACCCCCCAAACAATGACACAGCGGGGGCATTCAAAACATCAAGTTGCTTGAAATCCCTCGGGCTTGTAAAAACAAATAGCCTTAAAGCAATACTAAACCAGATTGGGCCAAATAGAACTTCAATAGGGACACAATTCTAAATGGGTTTCTAGTCAAATTGTTCATGCGCCTCCATGATTTGGGGGGCCGGGAGTGGGGGAGGGGTAGGGATGCGTGAGCGATTCATCATAGATGGACATTGCATCTGCGAGTTGAATACTTTTGTGGCAATTGGCTCAAATCGCTGCATTGCCTCGGTCTCTCACCCAGCCTGGTTCAAGGCTTGAACCGGGAAGGCCGTTGGCCTAAGTATTGGGCCATTGCGCGAATCACGACTGCACCCAACCAGGCAAATTTGTGGTGTGCTTTGGCGTGGGCATCATCTGGCACGACTTGGGACCAGATTGAACAGGGCGCCAAGCCTCGGTTTCAAAGTGGTGCAGGTGCAACACATCCAAAAAACCAGCGTGATTGAAAATCTTGCCCACAGCTGTGGGGAGATTAGCATCCCATTGCGACATGGGGAGCCGCAGCGGGAGTCAAGCACAGCCACTCGCGATGTCCCGCACGCTTGTTCTGGTCGACCGATCGACCTCCTTCAAAGGCTTCCCTAACATTCATTACGAGCACATGAAACCAGTGGATTCAGAAATCGCTGAAACAATGCGAACATGTACCCATTCTGAAAGGAATCTCAAGGGAAACTGGCCATGTGTGAGGGTTCCTGACAGGATTCCTCAAATTCTCCTAAAAGTATCCCCCTAAAGAAAAACCTAATCGCAACTTGCCTTAAAGGCAATGTTCAAAACACCAAAGATACATACCAGTATTGCATTTAAGTGCATATATACATGTATCTATACATGTATATATATATAATTTAAGGTTCACATATGTATATATGATATGTATACTTTTTCATATTCATCTAGCATAAGTGTTACTACCCGGCCTTATCTCAGGACCTACCCATCACTCTCAGGCCTTGGCCCTGCTGCCAAGACCTCACGCATCTTCCGCGCCTTCAGCAGCCTGGGCCACGGCGCAGTCGCAAACGTGTCGCGCTGTGGGCGAGAGACCTATCTGGCCTTTTACCATGGTCAAAGTCACCCCCCAAGTGGCGGGTTAAAGAGAACAAGCCCCATTTCTCACTTCGATAATTTTCCAGAAACCGTCGAAATAATGAGCCCTGTTGATTGGCTTCTGAAACGAGGCACTCAAAATCATGTGGCCGACAAATGATTCACTCAAGACAATGTCAAAACGACATTCAATCTGGCCAGCATGCATTCTTTGAGCCATGCTTCGCCTGAATGCCTTCATTTCATGAGCAGGAGTGGAACGTTGGCGGTGCTCCCTGGTTGATTTTAACGTGATATTCCCATATAGGTGGCACAAAAACACCTCCTGAAAGGTGTTTCAAACAATTGTTAACATCATTTCTCTGGTGGATGCATATTTTCTGCTAAGGACAACTCCAGCGAATTCACATCAATGCACAACAACATTCAATGCCGAATACGAAACACACCATGAGTTTGAATGGCATTCCGCCAAATGCCAGTGACTGCTGCAGGCAACGCAGCTTACCTGGCCCATGTCAATTTAGAGTGTTCCGTGTCCATTCATTCAGGGGCCATGCCACAAGTACACTAGTTTCTTGAGGCAATCAGGCAGCTTGGACCAGCCACCTGAGTGGTCGGCATTAGCAAATGCCCGGAAGCCAGTGCTTCGGCTGTAGTCACTTGGAACCTCGGCATTTGATCGCAGGAAGCGAATTCACTGCTTCCCCTTGCAAATCGTGTTGCTTGATTGTGGAGAGTAGACGAAGACGGGTAGTTGCCACGAACTCAATCAAGGTTGTGGCAGCCTGCCAAACAGGGGAAGCCTTGGACAGTCAGTGATTCAGAATGAGCATCAGTAGCATGGTCACAAACTGGGACATGGTGATTCAACGCACCAAGAGGAAAGGTGACCTGGGCTGCCTCTTGTTCATAGGTGTCCTTTTAGGGGAAATTAATGGCCCTGGTAGATGATTAAACCACCAGGTAAACCAGGAATCGCCATCTATTTTTCGACCAAAACAACCAAAAAGGACACCTGTCCTCTTGTTCTTTTCCGAACATCTGTGTTGGGTTTGATGAGCCCAACGGGCCTTTGCTTCAAGCGACCGTCGCTTGTTAGCCCTTCATATCCCTTCATCTACCCCTGAGGCGGGGACCCGCTCCTGATGCTCTTCTTGACCTGCAGGCTTGGCTGAGGCGTGCCCGTGACATTTTCGCAAAGGGACACCTGCAGCCAGGGTTTCATGGGAAACCCGCGGGACACCCATGAAATCCATGAAACCCAGGAGTCCATTTGATCCCGGATTCCCCCTTTCGAATGTTGGGGCCATCAAAGGGCACGCCAATCGGGAGAATGCAACGGAACATGGTGCTCGCAGTTTCAGCTTCTGCTAATCAGGTTGAAGTATTTTTTGCGGTCTGCATAAAGAATCAAACTATTAAAAACAATTTGAAGGGAGATGAAACGAAAAGCGGCCTTCAATTAGAATGAAGGTCAAATCCGCTGTCAATGCCATCTTGCTACGCCAAACCCCATGCGAGCCAACGCCAGGCTTCTGAATGCTCGCCAACACCTCTTGCCGAAGGGACACGCACATTCGGAATATCGCTGGCCTCTTTGGAGACTTTCAACTTTCCAAGTAACCCAATGGCCATGTGGCCATGGGTCAAAATCCCGTACCCCCAGTGAACCTCCAAATCCCCACTAAAATCCCGACTATCGGTGGTGAATTCACCTACCCAAAACGGGGCGCCCATTGGTTTTGACAACCACAGCCATGTGTTCCCTGTGGGACTTCCACTGCTGGCGCGAACGCTCAAGGTGCAGGAGGCCTTCTTGGTGCTGCGTCGCCTGAGGACACTGCCGCGGTCTGGCGCTCAAGGGACCTTTGGGAAACGACTCGCGAAAGTAACCAACACGAAGGCAACCATTTTCTATACTGGAACCCCAGCTTTAGTGCGCAATTCGTTTTTTTGGAGGGCCTCTGGTCGTTCGCAGTCCCAGCCAGAACCCCGGTTGGCATGCCCAGGCATGCCCCGCAGTGCAACACTCATTGGAGCACACGCCTTGGCAGTCAAAACTAAGGCGCACTGGCCCTATGGCCAGCACCAACACTCAAGACAGCTCAAAGAAACGCAGAAGTGGAAGTAAAAAACTCCTCTTCCCTTACCCCTCTGCCAGCCCAAGCCTTGCGAATTCCTGACTTGAACACCAAACATCTGCATGGCTGCATGTCGCGTAGCCATGTCTCAGTCACTGTTAGTCGCCAAACACCAGGGTTTCCTTGACATCGGTACCAGTACGAAGCCAACATCGGCGATGCGAACGCATTGCTAAATGCGATGGGATTGTTGTTGGGTTCCTGTATGCGTAGCGCTTGCCCTTCGCTGAAGAATTTGGGCTGGCCCCATGCACTCGTGGGGGATACCCACGTGCCCCCGAGGACATTGCTTGACACATGTGTTTGCCCCTCATGTTTGCCCCCTGTTCCCTTTTAAGACCACCCCACAAAAGGCGGCCTGCAGCACTTTCACCCCCAAAA